GCTCTGTTAGCATTCGGGAACGCTTGCAGCACGGTATTGCTTTCACCACTGTGTTGTGTGGGGGTGGGCTGAGGGGATGCATGCTGGTGCTCACAGCAGCACTCAGACAGGCATGGGGTGAAGGAGGGCTGCTGGGCTGGGAAAGAACTTCTCTGCATGGAAAAGTTCTGTACATCTAAGATCAAGGGTAAAAACATGTGGTTTAGTAACGGTGACAAATGAGAGGGAAAACTGGATGCCTTTTCTTTTTTCCTCTCTGTTTCACAGTTCCAGGATGAATGAGTGCCTTGGGGAGCTCAGAAATGAGACAACACGGTGAGAAGAGGACAGTGAGTGCAGACACTGTCAGTACCAAACCTTTGGAATTCACTGCTGCAGGATGGATAGCCAGCAACTCTTGCTGATGTGCTCTAGCAGAAGTAAAATCAAAGTGCCCTTTTATAACTGTTTAGATACAAAGTGAAGGGCATCCAGCTCCCTGACACTAGGATGCAGAATGGTGTGTGAGAGGGACTGTGGGAAATGACCTCCCCATGCATGGCTGTGCCCACTGACTGTGTTTCCATCACACGAGGCACAGAGCAAGTGGACAGTGCCTAGGGAGAGGGCACATACCCTTTGGGCAAGTGGTATCCCATTAGGGTTCTTTAAGGGCTGCAATGGCACCGTTCTGCAGAGGTGTGCTCCTAACAAGGAAGGCAGTGTTCTAAAGCCCACCAGTGTTTAAGTCCACTGAGAGCATGGAAGGAGGGCTGGAAGAAAACCAATAATTACTCTCAGATAAAATTAGTTTTACCAAGTGATTTTCTTCTAGAATCTTGGACTTGTGTATGGGCTGCCTGTGCTGTAGATACACCTGCATTCTGATAGCTCTATTTCCAGTGTTCCTGCATTTCTGACTGCTGTTGGCAAGAAGCTGTAGATTGTTTCTTACTCAGAGTTTTCTTACACACACATTAGTGTTTCCTCCTTCAATTCTGGATGTCCTCTAAGCATTGCACCTTTAAGGTACTGCTACTGCAGGGGCCATGGCAAAAGGCGCTACTGCACAATCCAGATGAGTATGGGGAATTGAGGTGGAGTTACTCCAATGAAAATTGGAAAATGCTCTGCTCTAGGAATGGCAATTGCCCTGTTAATGCAAGCTGGGTGTGTGCATCCCAGCAGCTGTGCAGGAGCACAGCACAGCGGGGCAGCACTGCTGCCTCGTCACCTCTCATCAGCTGCTGCGGCTAATTGCAAGGGCTCTCTGCAGACCTCTCAGCTTGTGTGGCCTGGAAAATCCCAGGGACAATCTTCAGGCAGTGCACAGGTGGGGTAACCCGTGGAGCCTGCGATGCCAAAGCAGAGAGTTTGGGGAATGGTGGCAGAGAAGTTTTTTTCTTCCAGGTGGAGTTAATCCTCTGCATGCTGGCACCCCTGGGGGAGGGAGCGGGCAGGCAGGGTTGGAGAAAATTTGGGAGACTGCTGTTTCAACTTTGAGCAGCTTGAACAGAAATCTTACAGCACCACGGGATCACTGCTCTAAATGTCTGAAAATGGGCTTCCCAAAGGCCGGCACGCCAAAGGACTGCCTGACCCAACTGCAAGGAAACCCTGAGGAAGGGAGCATCTTGACCTGGCTGTCCTGCAGCACAGAGTTTCCTTTCCCAGGGTTGTGGGGATGCTAATTATTACCCTGATGTTTTTAAAAACAGGATTGATGTAGCTGCAGGTTTTCATGAAAAATAAAGAGAAAGAAAGAAATGAAGAATGAAAGAGAAGATAGGGGGAAAAAAAGGAAGGAAGGAAGGAAGAAAAGAAAGAAAAAGAAATGAAGAAATAAAGGAAAAAAGGAAAGAAGGGAAGGGGAGAGAAGGGGAGAGAAGGGGAGGAAAGAGAAGGAAAGGTTAGGGAAAGGAAGGAAGAAAAGGAAGAAAAAAGAAATGAAGAAAGAAAGAGAGAGAGAAAGAAAGGAAGGAAGGATGAAAGAAAGAGAAAGAGATGAAAAAAGAAAGAAAAAAATGAAAAAAAAGAACAGAAGAAAGAAAGAAGGAAGGAAGGGAGGAAGGAGAAAGAAAGGAAGGAAGAAAATACGAAAGGAAAAAAACAAAGAAAGAAAATAAGAAATGAAAGAAGGAAGAAAGGAAGATGGAAAGAAAGTAAGGAAGAAAGAAAGAAGGAAAAAGAATGAAAAAAAAAAAAAAGAAAGACGGAGAAAGAAAGAAAGGGAAGAAAGAAGGGAAAAAGGAAGGAAGAAGGGAAAAAAGGAAGAAGGAGTGCGAAGGGCCGTGGCACAGCGGTTTCGTCGCGGAGCGGCGCGGAGCAGCGCGCAGCCCCAGCGCTGTGCCCTCGGCAGGTGGCGGCAGAGCGCGGCCGTGGCCGGGGGGGGCCGGGGTGCTCGGGCTGCGCTGCACCAGGGGGATCCGAAGGGCCGTGCGAAGCGACTGAAAAATGAAGTCCTCTAGAGAAAGCGGGAATTTTGATGTATAGCATCTACGCGTTTCTATCCGTAGGTATAGACAGAACAGCAACAACAAAGACGTATTTAAGCCTAAAAAAGAGAAAGAGCGCTGGGGTGGGATGCCGGGCGGCGGAGGGAAGGCCCGGCCCCGGGCAGCTGGGGGGGTGCGGGGGGCTCGGCCCACGGCGGGATGCTCCGAGCGGGGAGTGGAGACGAGGAGCAGCGGCGGAGGCGCGGGGTGCGCCCAGCTGCGGGCGTGCGGAGCTCGCGAGGTTCTTCTCCACCTTCTCCTCGATCGGCATCGGGGGGAAAAATAATAAAAATAAAATAAAAACAATAATAAAAGTCCTTCGGGACTTCATTCCGCTTAAAAAAAAAAAAAAAAAAAGCGCATCATCTTCAGTCCATTCGCCTCCTTCTCGAGTCCCTCGGAAAGGGAGATTAAAGGGGAAAGTCGCAGCTGTATATTTGTGTTTTCATTGCTAGAAGGGAATTGATTTCCTCGCGTTTATTTTTGTAGTTGCAATACACAAGGGCGGATTTGCGTCACCCAAGCAACTTGCTGGTCGAGATAAAGTTGCACAAATATTGAAAAGGGAAGTGCTCGCGCTCATTATGAAGTTTTTCTCCGGAAGAAATAAGGATTTCTGCTGTATCCTAAAATACTGAAGCCGCTTCTATTTTAGGACAAATCTCGCAGGCACATCCGCTCATTTAGTCCGAGTTGGAACCTCTCGAAAAAACAGGAGATGACCCAGGCTGCAGCCGAGCCCCGCGCTTCCTGCAGCCTTCGGGCACCGCTGCGCACCGCTGCGCACCGGCTGCGCGGCCGCGCAAAGCTGCATGCCCCAGGTGTAGCGGGCACCGCTCCGGGTTCCGGGAATAAAAGGGGGAAAGCAACCGAACAAAAGCAGCGATCCACCTTTGCTGCCGATACATACGCGGTCCCGGTGTCGGTGCAGCGATGACCGAATTTCCCCCCGCGAGAGGACGGGGCGGGGGTGGCGGCGTTCGTTGCTGCCGTGAGCAGCGGTGGGGGGCACGGCCCGGCCGGGGCGCCGGACCCAAGAGTGGGCGCACACTCGTTTGGGACGGAGCGAGAGCTGCAGAGCAGCAACGGGGCCGGCAGCGCGGGGGGATGCGGGGAAGGGGGATACGGGAGAAGCTCAGAGCCGAGCCGGTCTCGCTTTCCCCTCGCTTTCGGACACGGCTCGGCAGTGCTTATTATCGTTTCCATTTTAACGGTGCTGGTAAAACACAACGCAAACCAAAGCCGTGCCCTCTCCGGGAGCGCGCTCGGCCTCGAGCACAAAGCGCGATCGTCCCATACCTGCGGCGGGGGACCGCTTCACCGTCAGGCCCTGGGAAGGCGCCGAATTTTGAATGCTATTTTCAAAACTAATAACAATTTTTGGAAACAAAACCAAAGCAAATTCGCAACCGCACGACTCCAGACCTGCTCACAGCATCTCCGTTTGTGGAAACGACAATAAAAAATGTTCTTTATACGTATCCCATTTGTATTTTCATCGGTATTTGTGTTTAAATTTGTGTATCTATTTCTATTTTTAAATGCATTGTTATTGTTGTCATTTCTATTTTATTCCCGTTTCTATTTCTATTTTTATTTCTATTGTCTTCCCAGCACCAGCTCGGGATAGACGTGGGCGCTGTATATCAGCACAACCCACACTCTGATGGGTTTGTCTCCCAAACATTCCAGCAACCAAAGTATGCGGCAATATTCTAAAAGAACAAAATTGGCAATTTGGATGCCAAATTTTCCAAAATTACGAATCGGGCTTGAGGTGGAAACGGTGCCCGAGCAACGGGCGGAGTGCCCCCTGAAGTTCTACACACGGAGATGCCACGAAGGCGCGCAGCCCCGGCCTCCCGCAGACGCACGCTGCGCACATGGCTGTGGGAACGAGGCGCGGAGCGGCCCGGCCTCGTGTGTCATTCTGAGGCTGCGGCTGTCACCGGTCACGACCGTCCCGCCCGGGTTACTGCGGGTAAGGGCGCGGGGCACACCTTGAGGGCCCCAGCACGGCCCAGCACAGCTCAGCACGGCCCAGGGCGGCCCATCCCGGCCCGGCAACGCGGGGCGTGTCGGCGGGCGGTGCGTTCCGGCCCCGCGGAGCTCGGATTGGGCGCGGGAGGGCGGGGGGCGGCGGGAGCGAGGGCTGCGGCGGGGCCGGGAGCCGCTGCCAGAGAAAGTTTGGGGAGGGAGGGGTGCATTTTTTCCCCGGCGCGAAGAAGGGGGTTTGTTTTGTTTTCTTTGCGCCGCTGCTCTCCCGCGCTGGCCGCTCGCTCTCTGCCTCTCGCCGAGAGTTTTGGGGACTTCTTCCTTTTTTTTTTTTTTTTTTTTTTCCCTTTCCCCCCCCCCTTTTTTTTTTTTTCCTATTTTACTTTATTTTTCCCTGCCTCTTCGGCAAGCGCTTTCCCGCAGCCGCCCCCGCCATCCTTCCCCATGCCCGCGGGCCGGCGGGCAGCCCCGCGCCGCGCTCCCGGCAGCTGAGCCGCTCCCCGGGCGCGCAGCCCGGCCGCCGCCGGCAGGATGTATACGGCCGGCCTGGCTCCCTTCTACGCCTCCAACTTCAGCCTCTGGTCAGCGGCGTATTGCTCGGCGGCGGGGCCGGCGGCCGGCGGCTGCTTCCCTCTGGAGGCGGCCAAGAAACCGTCCTTCTGCATCGCCGACATCCTGCACGCCGGCGGAGAGGCGGCGGCCGGACCCGCCGATGCAGCGCCCGGGCTGCCAGCGGCCGCCGCAGCCGCGCTCGGCTCCATCCTCCCCGGCGGTCCCTTCCACGCCGCCGCCTCCCCGCTGCGGCCGACGCCCGTCGTGGCCCCCGACGCCCCCTCCGGGGCCGCCGCCGCGTTCCCTCCTCGCCTCTCGCCGCTCTCCGCCGCCTTCCACCCTCCGCACCACCACCGCGCCCCGCAGCACCGCAACCCCTCGGCGGCGGCGGCGGCGGCTGCACCGGGCGGAGGAGGGGGAACCCCGGCGCGGGGACCCGGGGGCCACACGGGCGGCACGGCGCCGGCGCCCGCCAGCAAGGACCTGAAATTCGGCATCGACCGCATTTTGTCGGCGGAGTTTGACCCCAAAGTGAAGGAAGGCAACACGTTGAGAGGTAGAGAAATCGCCGCGTCCGCTTTGCGTGCTCGGCGCTGGGTTGTTTTCCCCGTCCCCGCGGCTTTACACCGAGAAAAGCGGGGAACGAGGGCTCTCCCGCACCCCGCGAGGCGGCACCCCCTTGGAAATAGCGATAGCCTCCATGTAGCGAAGCCGAGGCGGGCAGGGCCACGGCCTCTCCCCGCAGCCCGAAGGAGGGAGCGCACGGCAGGGCTCCGTTCGCTCCGTCGGGGCCCGACCGCGCCGTAACCGCGCTCTCCTTGTTCTGTGCTCACAGATCTCACCTCGCTATTAAGTACCAGCCGCCAGGCCGGGGTTCACCTCCCCGCCTTGCAGCCGTCCGCCGGCCAGTTCTTCGCGTCTCTAGAGCCCATTAACGAGGCCTCTGCCCTTCTGGGGCCCCTAAACACAGCCCCAAGGAGCTCAGTTCAGCACCAGTTTCAGGACACTTTTCCAGGTACATCTCGCTCCCCCCGTGGCACCGGGCCCGCAGGGACTCGCGTTTGTAAACGCTGGAGATGGTTACTATTTTTTTTTTTTTTAATAATGATATGATGATGATTTGGTTTTTTTCTTCGCGAGGCTCGGGTTTGGGACGCCCCATGGGGGGAGGACGAGCGCTTCAGGGCCCGATCCAACTTCGCCCCGTCCCATAGCGAGAGCCTGGAGAGATGGGGTGGGGGGGAGTGGGAAGCTATCGGGGCAGCCCCCCCGACGGCAGCGGGAAACCCCCGACGGCAGCCAGGACCGCTCTGCGCCGGGCTACGGGCTGTGGGCTGCGGGCTGTGGGCTGCGGGCTCCGTCCCTGCGTTAACCCTAAGGGGGCCGCCCCGTGTCCGTCCGTCTGTCCCCACAGGGCCGTACGCGGTGCTGACCAAGGACACGCTGCCTCAGACCTACAAGAGAAAGCGCTCGTGGTCCAGGGCCGTTTTTTCCAACCTGCAGAGGAAAGGGTTGGAGAAGCGCTTCGAAATCCAGAAGTACGTCACCAAGCCGGACCGCAAGCAGCTGGCCGCGATGCTGGGGCTCACGGACGCCCAGGTATGGGGTGAGGGCTCCCTGCTGCGCTTGGGGGGGTGGATATCGAGGGCGGGGAGGGAACCGGAGAGCGTTTTCCATTTGCTTCTCCTTTGCGGCCCCGCACGTTTTGCCGAGCCGAGCACCGGGGAGGCACTTAGCTCCGAGGAAAAGTAGCATCTTTAATGTCCCTTCCCTGTTTTTTCTTTTTTATTTCCCCTCTAAATCTCTTCCTTTCCGCGTTGTAAAATCCCTGAGTGAAGGGAAGTGAAAGCTCTGCCTCAAACGGAGCCATTAAGTGCCGCTCAGCGATGATTCCGCTGCTGAGGGCCCGCGGAGTTGTATAACTCTGCGGTTTGTTGAGCAAGGGCCTGAGTTTCCAGGAAGAAGGAGGAGAAGGAGAGGAAAAGAACAAAAACAAAAACCCAAAACACCAATAACAAAAACCCACAACAAAACACAAAGCAAACAAACAAACGAAACAAAAGGAAAACTCTGGAAAAATAAATAGTAATCCAAACCCGGGAGTGGTTATTAAAACACGCAAACAGTAATGAAAAAGAAAGCCATAAATAATAAGAAAATCACCTTCGTGGTGTAAAGGTGGGGGCAGAAGAGGATGAGATGGGGATGGGGATGAGGATGAGGATGAAGATGAGGAAGATGAGGGCGGCCCGCCATGCCTCCCCCTTTTGCCCCACTCCCGCGGCGCTGCGCGGTTTTTGCGCGGGTGTTGCGCGGTCCCGTGAGCCCATCTGAGGGCGGCGCGGCCGCAGGTGAAGGTGTGGTTCCAGAACCGCCGGATGAAGTGGCGGCACTCCAAGGAGGCCCAGGCCCAGAAGGACAAGGAGCCACCGCCCGAGCCCGAGCCCGCGGCCCCCAGGGCCGGCCCGCCGCCCGCCGCCTCGGGGGAGCCCGAACGCAGCCCCAGTCGCTCCGACGGCGACGGCGACAGCGACAGCAGCGACCCCGACTCGCTCGACATGGCCCCCAGCGACACGGAAAGGACTGAGGGCGCCGAGCAGAGCCAGCTCCAAGCCGGGAGCTGCAGGCCTTCCGCCAGCCCCGGCCTCCCCTCCCCGCCTCCCGCCGCAGCCAGCCCCGAGGGGCTATAGACGAGGCGGCCCCGAAGCCGCCGGAGCTCCGCGCCGACTGAACGCCTCCTCCCCTCCGCGGGCCGGCAGCGCAGCTCGGGCGGGACCCCGCGCACGGCACGGCACGGCTCGGCCCGGAGGGGAGCGGCCGCGGGGCGGGAGCTGCGGCTCCAGGCTGAGGGAGCGCTGCCCCGGACGGAGAGAGAGCGGCCCGGCCGCGGGACAGAGAGCGGGACTTCTCGTTGTTGGTTTTGTTTTTTTTTTTTTTTTCCCTGAGGTTTGTTTTTTTATTATTATTATTTTTTAATTTTATTCTCCCGCCCCTTCCCTCTCTGGGAAAATCCGAGCGAGGGACTGCGCTCCGAAATAACTCCCCCACCCCCGAACAATTTACAATGTGAAGTATTTTTGCCGACATCCTCTTGGGTTGCGACGTGTTGCTTCGAATAATCCGACCGAGAAATACTGCACTGACAAAATATAGAAATCTATCTATCTATCTCCTGTAAATAAAAATGTTTGCTATGGTTTGTAACCACGTCCGTCTGTTGGCCAGGCTGAGGCCGCGGGGCTGCCCATCGCCTGCTCCTCTCCTCCAACTCCCCATCTTCGCCTTTTTAAGTTTTTTTTTCCCCTTCCCCCGCGAGCGGAGGTGATGACAACAATCGGATTTCATTACGCAAAATTGTGCTTGGGCGAGAAAGTCGCCAATTCTGTTTGCGGCTCCGACGGCGCGCACCTACGGACGGGTATTTTGGGGAGGCTTTGGGTTTTGGTGCAGGATCGTCCCTACAGACGAACCGCATCTGGGGGTGGGAGGGAGCTGTCTCAGACGGGGGGGGGGTTGAGGTGGTAGCACCCTGTGACGTCACGCTGTCCCGGCGTGGCTCGGGGAGCGCGGCATGACGTCACGGACGCAGAGTGCACAGAGGAGACAATGCTACTTTCGAGGGTCCGTCGGCAAAAATCATTTTGGGGAAAATTGAGCCAGGGCAAAGAGCGAGCCGGAAGGGCTGCGGTAGGCCGGGAGGGGACGAGAGAGGCAGAAAACAAGGTGCAAACGAGTGCGCAGATTCACGGCGCACAGAGCGATTTTCAACGGTGCCACTGCGCCCGTGGATGCGCGTAGCGCCTGCTGTGCCGTTTCCATTGGATCTCTGTGCATCAGGGAAGGAGTTGTGAGTAGGGCGTCCCCGATGGCTTTGAGAGGGGAGAGATGTTCGTCGGGGACAGCTGCTCTTCGCCTCCGTCCTCAGGAAAAGGGCCCCGTGCGATGCCCACATCCAAACAGAAGGGCCAAAAATCTCCCCACATCACTCCAGTTTTGGGGCCCGCGCACCTCGGGCTGCCGCCGAGAGAATAACGGTGTTCCTCTTCAGAGGAGAAAGGAAGAAATTAAAACATTACAGTCAGCGTGCCCCGGCTGTGCGCGCCCTCGGGCAGGTAGACAAAGCCACGTACGTGGCGCTGGGGAAAGTGACGTGGCTGTGCCCGTCCCAAGTGGGAAAGGAGTCCAGTTGCTGGGATAACGGTGCGGGGAGCGTCGGGAGTGCGGCAGCCCGTGAGCCGTCCGTAACGCGATGCTGCACCCATCCGGAGAAAGGTGCCAGCAAGTCCGGGGGGGTCCCTTTTTGTTTGCTTTATTTCTCGCAGCTTTGCCAACACGAGCGGATTCGGGCTGTCGTGGTCGCCTCTGAAGGCGGAGCGCAGAGCATCGCCCCGCGGATTCCTGTTCTCCAACTGCCCCAACATTCGATGTTGGTTTCCCCCCAACACCCCTCCGCGAACCACCGCAAATTCGGACCATACAATGGTTAAGGCCGGGGTCGGCTGGGAGGGCTCAGTAAGGTCGGGATATTCTATGATTCTATGACAGATTCTGTGATTTCGGGCCGTAAGTCAGCGCAGGGATGGCTGAGCGGAGGGAACCGAAGAACGACGGGACCGGGGGCGGCTCTGAGCCACCGGACCCAGGGGCGCAGCTCCCGATGCACGGCCGCATTCGACATTCCGAGTCCCTCCAGCTGCGGCTCGAGAACAGCATCGCAATGAGCCCTCATTCCCCCCCTATTACGATGCGCAACGAGATCCTGTTCTTCTCTCCCGATTTCTTTCCTGAAACCTCTCTCAGCTCCGAAAAGGCTTCCAGGAATACTCGGAAATGAAAATGGTCACGTTAACGGGAGAGAAAAAAAAAAAAAAAAAAAAAAAAAGAGAGAGAGAGAGAGAGGCAATATTTAAAATAATTTAATGGAAGGGCGAGAAGGGTCCGCGCCCGCGGCCCCGGGCCCAGCCGCAGCGAACCCCGCGTTCTGCTCCCGCCGCGTTCTTTAGGAAAATATTTGCGTATTATTTTAACGTCAGTCTTCGGCTGATGTCTTAAAAAATAATTGTTTTCAGGCCCCGTTCCTCTCGGCATCTCCGCTTCGCGCTCACACGCGGCGCTTTGCTGCAGCCCGCGCCTCTTCGGGACTGCCTGGCGTCGGCGAGACAAACTGCGAGCCCCAAATGTCAGCTCCTGCCGCAGCCCCGCTGCAAAACCGCCCCCTCCTCACGGCTGCGGGGCGCTCATCGGGAATAATGGCTGTTTACACAAAACCTTTATTCACTTTCTTAAATAAACAGCAGCGAACTCAAATAAAGCGAACCCTCGGCTATAACTCAGGCGCGGCGCTGGCTGTGCGCATTCCCGGCTGCGGACCCGGAGAGCCTCCGAGGGGAGAAATCTGAGGGTTCCTGTCACAGCCCACCTCCACCGGCTCGACATCCGCGCGGACCTCGGCCCGAGTTTTCCTTTTCCTCTTCCCTTCTCTTATTTTATCTTCCCCTTTTCCCAGAAGAAGCGGAGATTCCCCCCCCCCCCCCTCCACTCCAGTCCCTTTGCAGAGGTGGGAGCCCCAAGCTCCGCTCCGCACAGAGACGGCGGTGGGGGTCCCCCTGAGTCCCCCGTGCGCTGCCCTCCTATCCGCTACTCCTCGCTCCCTCGGCCCAGGCCCTGATGAGCTCCATTAAGAGCGTTATTGATGTGGAGGTTCGCTGTGAGGTCCCGGCTGGAGGGGAGCGCAGCTCTGCTCGGCAGATACGGCCGCTCTGATCCGCGCCACCTGGCTGAAACCAGAGAGCCGCCACTTCATTAATGGGTTTAGCCTTTGCTAATTGGTGTCTTTAGGAGCCTTGCCAAAATCTGCTCCGCGATCTTTGGAGGCAGTTTTTGTTTTTCCTTCTGCCGGTGACATTCGTTGGCGGCGATTAGAGCCGGTACCGCTCCCGCAGCCGAGCTACGAGCCCCGACGGGGCGGGCTGGGCTCCGGCCCCGGCGTTCTCCCGGCAGCCGGACCCCAAACGCGGAACGAACCGCCAACCGGGCTGGCGAACCCCCTCCGCCCGCCGGCGGAGCAGGTGGCGGGGCCGGGCGTGGGCCGAGAGAGGGGTGCCGGGTCCCTGCGGAGCCTCCGCGGCGAGGCCAGCCTGACCAGTGCCCGGAGCCGTGCCCGGAGCCGCGCCGCTCCGCAACCGCCGCAGCCTGGAGCCGCCGGCGCCGCGGCCCGGAGCCCCCGTTCGCTGCCCGCCCTCGGGGTCACCTTCGTCCCTGGCCCTGCGGCCCTGCCCGGGTTTTCCGGGATTCAAAGGTCCGCAGTTAATGAAATCCGCTCGCCGCAAATCACAGAGCGCTGCCGTACGCTATAATCAAATTTCTGCTTGCCTTAAAAAACCCGGGCCACCCTCCTCCACCCCCAGCCTTCGGGCAAACCCCAAATCAATGGTTTCAGCCATCGCCGCTCCCGCTCCCAGGGCCGTCGCTCCCGGCCCATCGCTGCCCGTAGCGGCTCTCGGCTGCCGGAACCGCGGGGCTGCCCGGAATGGGACAGACACCGCGGGGGGGAAGTTACCGGGGTGGGGATGGGGGTGATTGGGGTTCTAGGTTAGGAGTGATGGGGATAGCGGGCTGATACAGGGGATGGTGGAGGAGCTGATGGGACTGATGGGATGAGAGTGGTGGGATGGGGCTGAAAGTGATGGGATGGGGATGGGGGTGACAGAATGAGGATCGCGCAGGGACAGTATGGGAGTGAGTCTGGGGATGGTGGGATGGGGATGATGGTTTGGGGGTGGTGGGATGGGAGTGGTGGAGAATGTGTTGGTGGTGATGGGATGAGGATAAGTGGGATGGGGGTCATGAGGTGGACGTGATGGGATGCTAGATGGAATGATGGGATGCGGGTAGTGGGGCCGATGGGATGAGAGTGGTGGGATGGGGGTGGAAGTTATGGGATGGGAAGAGGTGAGGGGATGGGGATGATGGAGTTGAGGTGATGGTTTGGGGATGAAGGGATGGAGATGGTGGAGAGTGTAATAGGGGAGATGGGTTGAGAGTGGTGGGATGGGGGCAGTGGGATGGAGGTCATAAGGTGAAGATGATGGGATGGAATGGTGGAGGAGGTGATGGGATGGGGGTGATAAGATGGGAATGGGAAGCAGGGGTGACTCGTCTCCCCCC